TTCATCTGGTGTTCATCCAGGTAAATACACACAGTACCCACTGCACAAATAATTTTAGTCCAATGTAGTAGATTGCATTTAACTTTTTTATTCTGCTTCAGGCAAACCAAACAGGAAGTAGCTCAGCAATGGAGACTCTTGGTCATCAAAAAGCAATAAATTTCTGCTTACCACCAGCATGAATATAATGACGTTTGTATCAGAACGACATGCAACAATAGCAAAGAGGATGAGAGAAACATGTCCCAAAATCTGCAAGGAATTAGGGAACAGTTTTTTTTTTATTTGTGGCACATTGGAAAAAATAAATATGACCTACAAATACAGAACCCATTTAGAGTATTGTACCTTGGTGTATTTTAAATATTATATGATCTTGTTTTAGAAATTCAAAAGATTCTCATTAAACTAGGCAATGAGAAAGACTACGAAGTACTAGGGAGATGGAGGAAAGCATGTGTACATTTTTACTGGGCTGCTACATCAATATGCCTGGGAATTTAAATTTAGCTTCCTACTTTTAAGGAAGAGTGATGACACAATGAACTTGAAGGAAGTTTGTTGTGAAGCAGATGTCTTCAATACTCCCAGTAACGTCAAGTAATTATGCATTCCAGTGGGAAACCAAGAATTTCTGTCCACAAAAATCCACTGTTTTATTGGTGGCTTAGTTTCTCAAAGCGCAGAGCAATAATATAATATTCATAGACAATCGTGAACCGTAAAAACAAAGACATGCCGATTTGTTGTCAGGCACAAGCATGCAGTAATGAAGCCACAACTGAGCAGAAATTAAATGGCACACTGGAAAACATAGTATAATATAAATTATTCATTTTTAGAGTTTCTTTCAACTTTGTGCTTTTCAAAGACATATCGTCTAAATTTCTCTTTCGACACACTTTAAATAATTAATTGATTAAAACCATGTTATATACAAATAAACACCTTTATTTTTAAAATTATACGTACTATTTACAACACGGACGTGAATGTTGTAAATGGCTGAAAAAACGACTCATCTTATGAGTTAATTAATTGGCGAAGTAATTTTAAAATAAACATTGTCTAAGCCAAGAAAATCAAAGTTAAAGTTTATGTAAATCAACATGAATCTGTATCCCATACACAGATACGACATGCTTATGATTTTTCTTTGTGTTTTCTTCATGAATTATTAATGAGTTTTTAAAGTTGTATATAACATTAAACATTTAATCCATTATTTAAAGTGTGTTAAAAGAGAAATATAGACGATAATCTTTGAAAAGCACAAAGTTATCAAGCTCTTTCCTTGCTTCAACTAGAGAAATTTCCCAAAGTTTCTTTGAAACTGAACTATTGTGACGAGTGGCAAAAATTCGCAGTCAGTCAGTCATGCAGTCAGTCAATCATTGCGTTAACTTTCCAGGGGGTGTATTATGTGTACTATTTATGTTTGTAGTGATTTATTGTGCTTTGAAGGTTATTTAGGCAATTTCAGTTGTTTTATTTAAATATTCTTTTGCCGAGTTCACAAAAAATTGGAGGAATCGTTGTCATTATTGTAAATTTTTGTAAATTTTATACATTTGCTTCTCATGTTGTGTGATGGATCTTTCCCTCGGAAAACCCATTTTTTTCTTTAGCAACGCAAATGCGCATGTGTTGTCAAGCTGACGAATGGCATACGAAGGAGCGACACAGTGTTGTTTTCAAATTATATGTCGCTAGGAAGGAGCGACACAGTGTTGTTTTCAAATTATATACATTTTAGATGTGAATATTGAGAAAATCTTTGAGAATCTATGCAATGCATAAATCGATGTTACACATTACTGGCATTCAATTAAGTACCGATATTATTTTGACGGTATATTCAATATAAGTGTTGTTTCGAAATGTATAAACACTTCAGACGTGTATTATTGTGAAGAGCTAGGAAGCAGGAAGACAGTGTTTGACGGTATATTCATTGTACAGAGCTAGGAAGCAGCAAGACAGTGTTGTTTCAAATGTATAAACATTTCAGACATAAATATTGAGAAAATCTTGGTTTACGGGTCTAGCACAATGCCAACGGTGCAAACTTGTGTTCAGTGCAACGACAACTCTAGCAGATATTACAAGAATCTGTCTGTATCAAAGATTGTCAAAACTGCTATACATAAACTGTGAAACTATTGAAATTTAAAGTGACATCATTGAGTACATGTGAGCCGAGCCATATCTATACTCTTAGTTACAATACTTACAATACATCATGGCATAATTATAGATCACAGCTACCAGCCGGGGTTATTTAACTGTAATACAACACTACAATATACTATAGTATACCACAATACTTCACAGCTACCAGCCGGGGTACGTTAATTTAATCTGTAATACAATGCTACAATGCAATATGACTGTCAGCCGAGCCTGTCGGCAGTATACTATAGTATACTAGAAATACATCACAGCTACCAGCCGGCAATACGGCTATCAGCCGGGCCTGTCCGTAGTATACTATAGTATACTACAGACAGGCACACAGGTGATAGCAAATAAATAAAAATGATATAATATAGTATTATTACCATTAAATAACCCCGGCTGGTGCCTGGTAGCTGCGATGTTTCATTGTTTTGTAGTATACTATAGCTATAGTATACTACAGACAGGCCTGGTTGTCGGCTGATAGCCTTATTGCATTGTAGTGTCATATTACAGTTAAAAATGACCTTGGCTGGTAACTACAGACAGGATCGGCTGATAGCCATATTGCCAGCTGGTAGCCCTGATGTATTGTAGTATACTACAGTATACTACCGACAGGCTTGGCTGAAGTCATATTGCATTGTATTACAGTTAAATAACGTACCCTGGCTGGCAGCCATGTTTTGTAGTATACTATTTGTATGCTACAGACAGGCCCAGCTGATAGCCGGCTTGCTGGCTGCAGCTGTGATGTACTGTAGTATACTTAATTACAAAATTATCAATTTACAAACATATATATGTTAAGTATGTAATTATACATAATACAAGCTTCTATTTAAGGTAAAATTCAACCACAAACAATTCACAAAACGTTTTAAAGTGTTCTTTATAAAACTAAACTGCCTTTAACTATTATTAAAATGGCTTTATCGATAAACTTTGAGTTTGCAATAAAATGATTTCAAATTCTCGCTTGCAAATAACTTTGGTCTTTGCTTTGTTTTTTATTTAAAAAATTCAATATAATAAAAAAGGGAATCAATATTAAAGTTACACTGAAATTTATATATATGCTGTCTTGTTTAGTTGTTTCATATACTCAAAGGCCGTCAGGTTTTAAAGCCATTATAAAATCAATATTTAAAACAAACTTACCTTCGTTAACGTTGGCTCCCTTCTTTTAGCTCATTCTTTCGCCCTTTCTTTCTTGAAATTTACAAAATCTTGCAGAAATACGAGCAAAAATGAAATATATTTGCAAGAAATTTATCAATCATCAAATCAAGAAATGTTTGCTATTTCGCTGTCGTCATGCAGTCGTTATAATGCAAACTTTAAATTGGACCAATCAGTGTCCATTATTCATGACAATCCACCATATTTTTGAGATCAGTGAGGATGACCACCCATCGTTGGTGACCAATGCCCGCGCTCGTTGATGAACTTTAGACTTCACTAATGCTTTTGTTTCCCCAGGTGTAGATAGCCTGGGGGAATTAGTACCCTCGCACGGCGCTTTGCGCCGCCTGCTCGGGGATTACAGTTAAATAACCCCCGGCTGGTACCCATGATCTATGCCTGATGTATTGTAAGTGGTGGCGTGCAGGAACAACACTCAGAGTGAATGCTGAGGATAGTGAGTTCGATCCCAGAGTGAGCGCGAACAAATTTGAATTTTTCTCTTTGCCATAATTTTTTTCTCATTTATTTACCTGTCGCATAGCTAGCTGTATGCATTGGGAAGATGAATTTAGATGCATTTCAATGATTTTCGGAAAATTTAATGCAATTTTGGTGGTTTTCTGCTTATGAAAACATTCTAGAACCAATCTCCAAAATGTGTGCATTGTTTTAACAAATAGTATACTACAGTACAGCCCGGTTGGCAGCCAAGCAATCAGAGACAAAATTTCCGGCTGTTAGCCGGCGTCAAACACGCTAATCTAATCGGGTGCAGAAATTATGCCTTGTCATTATATTATATCATCATTCTTTGATTGTAAAGTATTATTCAAACCAGATCGTAGCCTTTTTACTGTTGTAACAGTTCCGTGTGCTACTACGACATGTGATTAAGGCTATAAACCATGCTTGTAAAGCTATTCAAGTAATAAGCATTCCTTATAGTGTTTGTCTTTGAAACTCTGCACTATCCTTGGATCCCTAGTTTAAATGTCAAGCCGAAATCTTTAAGGTTTTGAATGTTTAAACATTTGCACAAGATGGGAACTCGTTCATGCAGTTCCTGATCCCAGACCTTCCAACTCTCACGCATTTTGTGTGAGACACACGGATTTGACATATTTCTCACGCTCACACGCATAAACACTATTTTCTCACGCAAAAGCGAAAAAGTAGGAAGCGATCCAACTTTTGTTTTAATGCTTCTCTTCGCAAAAAAATATTCTTATGTAGCTGAATCAATAGCTATAAAATAAAGTATTTTTCGAGCAGTTGCGGTATAATGTATAGTGTTGTGTAAGTTGGACTATTGCGCAAATTAGTAAATTGACACTTAGTTATTGAGGGATTCCCCCAGACAACGCTTTTTATGTAAAATATAAACTATAATCTTATTAATTTCGCGTGATGAATTAGCATTATTCGCGCGTAGGCATGATAACGCATTTTGTGGTAAGCGCTCCCTTCCTGCACCTCCCTTCCGTTACGTAGAAAATGAATAGTCATAGTTAAACGCCCACATTCGGTGGAGAGTATAAATGTAGAGAAAGTATCATAAAAATATCATAAATAAAATAGATTCTAACTGGATGTGTCGTTAATGTGTTATTGAGAATCTCGCTATACAAAAAATAATGGCCGAAACTTCGAGTGATTGCGGCCGAAAGAAAGCAAAAGTTGATGGTTCTTTAGATGGTTCTTCCGCTGCTGCGCGATTCAAGTCAAAATTTCAGCCATCCTGGTCAAAAAAGTGGCCTTGTATTATTGCTGTTCCTCGTTCACCAACTGAGTTCAGGTGTACGGTGTGCGACAAAGTTTGCAGCTGTGCTCATCAAGGGGAATCTGATGTGACAAGACATATTCAAGGTGAAAAGCACCAGAAAAATGTACGAGTTAGGACCAATGCAGCGCTGTTAAGTTCATTTGGGTTTATTTCTACCTCGGATCCACTGAAAGATAAGGTAATACATTAACATATTGTTGTAGTAATAGTGTACGTATATCAGTGTATGTTGTTTAAAACAATTTGTTTTACTTCTAGTGAAATAATTAATTATAATAGTATTTTTCTAAAAGCTTATTCCATTTTTAGGTCACAACTGCAGAAATTAAAGTTGCTATACTCTTAGTTGAAAACAACATCCCTCTGGCATTTGCTGATAAGCTTAGTCCAACGTTTAAAGAGTTATTTCCTGACAGCAACATAGCTAAGAACTACCACAGCGCAAGAATGAAGACAACTTGCATATTGAATGGAGCAATAGCTCGACACGTAAAACAGACATTAGTTAAACAGCTGAAATCCGGAGTTTTTAGCATGTCAACAGATGGTTCTAATGACAAAGACCTCGACAAAATGAATCCAATCACGGTAAAACTTTTTGACATTAACACGTCAAGAGCGGTTACCCGTTTCCTGGACATGGGAGTGACTCAGGGTGTGGATGCTGCTAAGGCTTCTACAATATTTGAAGCAATCGATGAAGTTATGACCGACAACAGTATACCCCGGAAAACTGCATAGCCTTCTCTGTTGATAATACCAGTGCAAATCTTGGTCAGTTTAATTCTATTAAGACACAGGTACTTGAACGTAATCCTGACTGTTATTTTCTTGGATGTCCATGCCACATTCTTCATAATACCGCCGGCAAGACCTCTTCGCAACTGAAGGAAGTTTCTGGGTTTGACATTGACGACTTGGCAGTGGATATTTTTTACTATTTTGACAAGTCAACCAAGCGAAAGGCTGCCCTTAGTGATTACACTCAATTTTGTGACTTAGTATATCGCAATATGCTTAAGCATGTGACCACACGTTGGCTGAGTTTAAACACTTCTGTTAACCGCATATTAAGTGGCTATGAAGGTTTGAAGTCCTATTTCCTTTCAGAAGATGATGAAGATTCTAAAATCCCACGTTTTGCTAGGCTTCGAAAGCATTTTGAAAACCCGATGACTGAGATTTACTTGATGTTCTTCCAAGCTGTTATTCCCACCTTTACTACCGTCAACAAATTCTTGCAGAGAGGAGAGCCAGTTATTCATCTGCTTTTGGATCAACTTGAGTCGTTCCTTAAGAAATTGGCAGGCAAATTCATACGTATTGATGCCATTGCAGCTGCAAATAAAGTGTGTGAGATAGATTTCTCAGATGATGGAAATATAAAGGAAGAAGACAAGATGTTTGTGGGAATTACAACACGGGGAAAGATGATGAAGATGCTCAATGATGGAGATTTAGATCCTCAACAGGTAGAATTACAGTAATACTGCAGAATAATATATTGATAGTTCAGTTCAGGCAGATTATTATTAGTCCATTTATAGAGCATATTATTCAGTGTTTCATTCATTCAGCCACCTTTAATTAATCATTCTTTTACATCTAGGTGCAAAGATTCTATGATGCAGTTGGTGCGTTTTACAGAGCTGCTGCACAGTATGCCTGTATGCTGTGGCAAAACTTCCATTTCATGACAAAGTTCTGGAGAATTCTCGTTTTGTTAATTTTGAGAAACGCAGAGAGCATGAATTCACAATGGTCGAGTTCTTTCTACGATTCCCAGATCATCTAGAAATGAGTGTTGAAGAGCAAGAAAAACTGCAAGAACAGTTCATAGACTATCAACTTTTGTCAAATAATAACATCCCCCAACATGTCTGGAATGATGCGACTGTGAAAACGGATGAAGATGGAACAGCTTGCCTGTTTCGAATGGATGTCATTTGGGGGCATTTGAACGCAACCAAATCTGCTGATGGTACACCTCGATTTGATTTGTTAGCGCGAGTTGCTTTAACTGTACTGTGCCTTCCTCACTCAAATGCAGAAGAAGAGCGAGTTTTTAGCATGATTGGAAAGAACAAACAGGCAGAGCGTTCAAGCCTTCAGGTTAAAGGAACACTTTCATCAATAATGACAGTGAAGCTTGCAGATTTGAATGCTAAGACTTTCACGCCTCCAGTGTCCGTCTTAAAAGCAGCTAAATCTGCTACTTATGAATACAACAAAGCACATAAGCGCAAGCTATAACTCATTAACATTTAAATTTAGAATGACTTTTACTTTTTAAACAATATTAACGAAATAAAAAATAAATGAAACTTATAATTGCAATTGCAGATGTCCAAAAAGTGTTACTTTTGAGATTTTTAATGCCATTTTTGTACCTTTAGAATTCTGTTAATCTTCTCCCAAAATGCAGGAAATGGCATTTCAGAGACTCCAGATTTAAAAATTTTCCGGAGGGCATGCCCCCGAACCCCCGTAGGACAACGCCTGCCCGCCGTTGGTGGGCTATATCAATAACATTACAGGAAAAAGCTAAATCTCTCATTGTTGCGATTACTTTTTTCAAGATATGGACGATAAACGTGAACAAGGTCAAGGTATGTAGCTTCGTGCATATAATTGGCATCTAAATTTCTCACCTCAAACCATCACATGATTGAGAAAACTTTATAAATA